GTGCACTGGAGTTCCTCTTTCTTGATTCTCCACCCTCTCTTGTTCTTCCTGCTTCACTATTAATACCACCCACCTAAAAGATCACAGTCTCTCCGCATCCTCATCCAACTTCATTCACCTCTTATCTCCCACTCCCAACACCTTTTGTTTTAGCCAGTCCCAGCCAGGCTCCTGGCTTCCAGTTTTGGGATGCAACTAAGGTTTTGGAGGTCTAATGATTCCCTGCTGCCAGCAGGGGTGGTCTTGCCTACTTGTCCTTTCTCCCTCCTGGCAGCACACTTTCATGTCCTCCCTCACCCTAGCTTTGGTTTTCATCAGACCACTAGTGAACTGTTTAGCTCACTAAAATGGCAAAAGCTACTCACCTCTCTCCTTGCTGGCTCAGTTTTAAACTAGCTTAGTGATCTGACTCAAATTACCAAAAAGCAAGAAAAACAGCAAAGTTGTTCCAAAGAAGGGGAGGGATAGTGAGAGAGAAGGCCTTTGCTGGGAAAAGGAAAGATAATAAGGAGAGAATGGACCCATCCCTTTTGGTGCCATAGGCTCAGCCATTTTACCTGGCACAAGCCTTAATCATACAGTTCTATCCCACGTTAGTTTCAGTTTCTCTACAGTCCTACTAACTTTGAATTCTGTGATTGTTGGATGTATTCTTCTTTCACTACTACTAGATATCAAAAAAGGAGCAATCTTCATTGCAGTGGGGTAGGGTAACACCATTCCACTCATTTGTTCTCTTTCTTGCTTTCACTGTTCCCCCTTGCCAGTTTTTTATTCTTTTTCCACAGCAGCACTAATATATAAAACAGAAAGTGTGGCGAATGACCCATTCCAGTCTCATCCTGACTCAAAGCACAGTCACCAGTCGCTGTCCTGGAATAATGGGATGTCTTGGCTGGCTTGCCATAAGTCATAGAGGCTACATCATAATCAGAGATTTTTATTTTTAATTTTCCTGCTCTGAATCAAATTCACTTCAATAACTGCTAAAAATATCACTAATCTTCCTCTTCTTTCAGATAATACTTAGTAAAAGAGCATATTGGTGTCATTCCATACTAATTAAATAAAACCACTCTGAAATTTTTCTCCCTGTTTTTTTCTACCACTGTGAACAACTCTAGAGAGAAACACAGTCAGGAACTAAAAGGTCTCAGAAAATCTTTCCCTGAGACAGTTATTCAGATATACTGAGGATCGTTTCAAAAGCAAGCTTGGCTTTTCCAGGGCTATAAAAGCATAATGTATTTTATGTTAGAGTAGGAAGAACTTCCTACAGAAATGCAAGAAGTATGCTTCTGAGGACTTAATAAATGTCTTTTTATGAGAAATTTTAGTGTTTGTACTTTTGTTTTTGCTTCTTGAAGCTGAACAGTGTATTTCTTGAAAGTCCTAATTTATTCTGAAGATTTTACTTAGAATTTTGATAATTCAAATGGAACTATCACATGCAAATATAGGAATGTTGATTCCCAGTCCCACTTACAGAGAAAATTGCTAAATAATTATTGTCAAACTATAAATTCTTGCAAGTTTAAGTATTAACTTGCTAAGATATAAGCTGTGGCCTGTTCCCATGGCCAGCAGTTGCACTTCGACAGGAAGATCCAGAAAACTGTACTTTCAAGTGAATTACTGATAGAACTTTGTGTAATGAAACTACAAGATTTGTGCCATAAATATTTGCTGTAAAAAACCTGAACTTGCAGCAAAAGTGGAAGTACAGAAATAAAGGCACTCTGCCTTAGCTAAATGTTTGAGTTTTGACTGCAGCAATATTCTCCAATTATCCAGAGAGTGAAGAATAATGATTTAAAACAATCAGAAAAGAGAATTAAAATTATGCATAGAGCTGTATGATGAGTCCAGTTCATTATTTAAACTAATAAATTAAAATATTTTAACCTATTCATGAAGTTTTCCAAATACAAAGTCACACAAGTAATAGAAGGCTCCAAATGTTTTGCAGTATGAAGTAGTACAAACTGTGACAGCAATGTAACTTTGAAAAGACAGCAATTTTGACCAGCATTTTTGACATAAAATAAATCCTTCAACCAACCTGACTGATAGTCAACCAAAATTCTCTGTAATTCTTAGATTCATTGTAGATACTTACACAATTTAATAACAGACTTGATTTGAAAGAAATCATTTCACAATAGCACCCCATTAAAGACAAATCTGAACAACAGTCTTTAATTTTGCTCTTCACACATGGGAGGAATCTGATAAGGATTAAACCAGGACTGCAAATTTACAGATGTAAATTTTAACATCACTTATGTTGCCTAAATTTGGAGATACATCATTTGCCCCACTGCACTATAGTCAGTTAGTTATGACTTATGTCAGTTTACAGAAGAGTGGTACTCAAAATGCTCTGTCAATAAGAATGATTCCACCCCTGGTTCAGAACAAAATGGAAAGTCATGTTATCCCAGATCCAGAAACATACCTACAGTGTTATATATGCCAGCAAGGTAGGAAACTTTTCCTTAAAGTTACACATTGTCTGACACACCAGTAATAATACTGGCATGCAGTCATACATGAAAACGAAAAAAAAAAAAAAAAGAAAACCCAACCAGAATAGTATTACATCTTTCAGAAAGTTGCAGTGGTATTTTCTATATGTATTAATGTTGCAAGATAACTGTAAATAAGAACTAAGGTCTTGTTTTGTCTGCACTTTGTCCTCTCCACAAAGATGTTTCTGCTTAATAGCCAGGATTTGCAGCCAACAGATGCTATCTGTGTGTATGTGTTGTGTTTTGTTTCTTATAGAGCTGTTGTGGGTTAACCCCAGTGGGCAGATAAGCACCACATAGTTGCTCACTCACTTCCTCCCTACCCCAAGTGGGACGGGGGAAGAGGAAAGGAAAAAAAAAATGAGAAAACTTGGGGGTCAAGATAAATCAAATGAACAAAGTTTGTTTAATAAGTGAAGGATAAGTGGAAGAGGAGGGAAAAAAACAAAACAAAACAAAAGTGATGCAAAAGCAATCACTCACTGGCTCCTGTGCATAGACCAATGCCCTGCCAGTTCCTGAGCAAAAGATAGCTAACCCCCCTAAAGTCCCCTCTTTCTGCTTTTATTATATGGCAGGGAATATCTCTTTAGTTAGTTTGGATCATCTGCCTGGTTGTGTCCCCTCCCAGCCTACTGCACACCCCCCAGTCTATTCACTGGGGCGGGGGGAGGGCAGAGTGAGAAACAGAGAAGGGATTGGTGCTGTGCAAACACTGCTCAGTACAAACTAGAACGTTAGTCTTACCAGCACTTGTTTTCATCACAAATCCAAAACATAGCACCATACAAGCTACCATGAAGAAAATTACCCCAGGCAAAACCAGTACAAGAGCACAGCACAATAGGTACAGTTCCACATCCAACAATCCTAAATGATAAACTAATTAAAAAATACTAATGCAAAGTGGGGAGAAAAAGATTGGCTGTGCTACTTTAGTCTTATAAAGGGGTGAAATTTTCTGCTGGTTTCATGAGCTAAGCCAGCTTACCAAAAGATATGATGAGTACAAGAAGTAATGAGAGGGGTAGGACAACACAGCACAACAGGAACCAAGAAAGGAATGAAAGAACAAAAGCATAGCACCCATCTTTTTTGCTGCCAATGAGTGTTTGCATCAGCTTTGTCAACTCATCAAACAACACTCTAAATTTGATTTAGTCTTGAGTGGAACTAAAGCAGCTTCTAGAAGCAGCAGGCATAAATGCAAGCCTCATATGCAGTATTCAGCACCCTTTGGCTAAGGTATTGGTTTCACATCCCTACACACCTCCCCTTTTGGAAACCTCCTTTCCTTATGCCCATGTGTTCCTCCCTGGTTTAGACTGCAGAATCTTGTAACTCATCTTGCACCAGCTCTGGCAGTCACTCATTGGGCCACCCTGTGAAGCAATTTAAGTAACTAAAATGGCAGACTACCCTCCGTCGCCCCCCTACCCCCCCCAAAAAAAAAAAGAGAGAGAATATTTTTATGCCATTTTAGTGAGCTGAATCAGCCAAAGGTATGGCAAGAGACCCAAACACACTTTAAAGGGAAGTAGGGGTGGGAGTAGATGTGTCACACAAGAAGCTCAAGTCTAGGTAAATACTAAGAAATACAGATATCAACAGGGTTTTTTCCATTTTTTTTTTGTTTCCCTTTTAATTTGAGACTATAGAAAATTATCCTACTTTCCATGAAAAGTGATAAGGCTGCAAATTAGCAACAAAAAAATCATGTCATTTTGCACTGTCAGTGCTCCCTGTAACACATAGGGACCAGTCTACGCCACATCTAGACCACTGTAGAATTAGGTTCTCCAGCCTTCCTGTTCTTTAGAGAAAAAATGAAGGGTAGAGATGTTGATGTTTCAGCTAACAAAGATGTTAGTATGCCATATATTTATGCATTTTTGTATTCATAGTATATATTTATAAATAAGTCCATGCACTGTACTCAGATACATTGTAACATGACTCCTACATGCAATCCTTTTAGAAACAAGCCTTTTGTTGTTACAGAATTTACAGCAACCTCTTGTAGCTAAATGGTCAAAGCACCGTCCTGTACTTAAGGCAATGTAAATTACCTTGCCCAGACAATATTCTATGTTAAGCCAAACGAACTAAAAAGAACATTTTGGATAATAAATGTTATCATAACATTTTGACAGACTAGAACACAGTACATGAAAACCAGGAAAATAAGCATGCAAACTTTTTTCATTTTATATAGAAAAATATTTAATTAACTTTGGTTATGAGGTCATTTAGTAACAGGACTGAATATAAGCTGACATAAAAAATGCATCTGAAAGGAAATCTTATATAGCTATAACTTTTGTTTAAAAAATTCAACAACTTTTCACTCAATCCTTAAGTAGTGAAAAATACTTTCATTGCAAACATACCATTTATTATCAAAGGCTAGTATTAAAAAAACATTCCAGTTGATTCTGTTAGTGTAAAAATGTAGAAAATAGGACTGACCTGGACAGAAATTCTGCTGTGTCTGAGTAGTTAATTTTTCTTGTACAGCGCGCTTTTCAAAATGCCCTGTAGTTGCATTCTGATGTAGGCCTGTTTGTCTGGTGGCAAATCCCAGTTCTCCAGGTTCAGAAAACTTCAGATAAAACTGTGGCTCCAAATCACTGAAAGAGAAGTTTATAGCACCATGCCTCCCACTGCCATAGTCAGTGAACATAGATTCGTCCTCGGTGTTCTGTGTTGGTAATGGGAGAATCCGGTGATGCAGCTGCGGGCTAGGCAGTCTCGAAGATAACGGAGAAGGAATAGGTGACATTTGTTTGTTTGTATTAGATAGCGGATATGAATTACTAAAAACATTACTCACTGCTACTAACGAGGGTGAATTCAGCCTTTTCTCTTCCAGTTTAAGATTATTACTTGTCTGAGAAATATCAGGATTTTCATTTACAGGCAGGTTCAAAAATAAATGCTTGCTGCTTCCCCGGGATGCCGTGGTTCTTTTCTCATATATTGAGCCTGGCAGGTTTCTGTCTACTCTTGTAATTTGTTGCAGTCTCTTCCATTCTGCAGCTTCATCTAAACTGTCGCTCCGTATAACTTTCAGAAGAGCTTTATTGACTGCTCCCACAAGGTTGCATGACTCATCGGTAATGTGCACTCTCTCTGCTTTGTACTGCAAACCAGAGCCGTCTTGCTCCTTTTCCTGCAGCACAGTGTTTTTAGAGTCTCCAGCAGCTTCATCTATGGAGTATACACCAGTTCTTGATATAAACTCATTATGTACTGTTGTGAGAACAGGAGAAATGGTTTCTTTATCTCTGTGAAAATCAGGTAAAGACTCTGCAGGGGGCTTGGCAACTTTTTTAATACAAGCTTCTGAATCCTGTACTTCAGCAACAACTGTGATTCCTGGTTTCTCCTTGCATACTGGCTCAGTATACTTGCTACTTTTCAAGCTTTTAGCAGCTGCAGATTTACTTAATGTCTCAAGTTTGTTAGATCGACTGTCCTGAGATGACTTTAGCAAAGTGATACTCTGTTGTACCTTCGTAACTTCAGGAATGCATTCTCCATTATCCACTAGTTCAGCTGTGACCATGTCATTGTTTTCTTTTGAGCTAGAACTTGGTAAGTCAGCATCCAGTTTCACAGCTTTGTTGCTCTCAAGAAAATACCCCTCTTCTATCCACCTTTCTGGTCGTATACTTTTGTCTACCAGTAAATCATCCTTACCTTTTACTCTTAGCCAACTGGAGGCAGAAAAGGAACTGGGAAAAATCCTGCTAGGAAATCTTGTGGGGAGCATCTTCTTATTTTCCAGTTTCATGTCTTGCGCACTCAGTGAAGAAAGATGTTGTTCATATACTTTTTTTCCCCCTTTCCGGTGTCTGAACTCCTCAAAGCTCTCTTTCCTTCTGTATTTCCTCATCTTTTTGTGATTCAAATTGCCTCTATTCGTGGAATCCAGAAAGAACTCCTGCTGATGTATAGAACTGCAGTAATCATCTCCTTTAAGTTTCAGGAGTCCAGAAACATCCTGTTGCTTTCCCTCCTGATGTCCTGTGTTAAGGCCCAGAATATGATGTGATCTCAAAAGACTGGATAACAATTTTTCCTTTTCAGCAGTTAGTTTGTACAGTTCAATGAGAATGTCTTTAGTGGTAGTTTGCACGAAAATAATATCTCCAGAGTTTTCATACGGCCGTTCTCTCAGCTCCATCTCTAACCTTTCCCTTACTTTATAGCAGCTACAGAAACGTTTACTGGTTCTATCCAGAGTTACACAGCCCTTGTAAGTAAATCCTCTGACTTTTCCCTCTGGAAGATAGAAGCTGATGTAACAAAGTTCCATAATTGGTTTGTGCAATTGAAGGATAGTATGCGTGCCTTCCATTATGCTTGCCAAATTAGTCATTCATTTAAATTATGTGCTAAGTCTTTCAAAGCTTGCATGACATAGCATGTGAGGCAGGGAATGGACGGAAGGCATCTGACTAATCTTCAACAATAATATTGTCTGCTGGAAAAAACAAAGAGAAGCCTGTCAAACTTGATTATGGCAAATTTAATACGACAAATAACAAGCCTGTAGAAGCACAATCTTCTCTCAATATTTTCTGATACAAATCTTTTACCTTGAAAAATCTGACACAAAAAGGATGACATTGGTTACACTCATAGTTGGAGTCATAATCCTTCTCTCATACATCATCCCTCTATCTCCAGAGTTCTCAGTTAATGCTGTTCTATAAGGTCACAAGATGTTCACTAAACCACCCATTTCAAACAGAATTTACTTTTTAATGCTGGAACCTATTGCCCTCTTTCTGTGAAAAGTTAACTCGCTGTTGAACATTTAGTCAAAAGAACCATTCAAGCATGCATGTTGCCTTTTTACTCAGTCAGCACAAACAGCAACATAACATCATCTCAATGTAATTAGCTCTCGCTGCTTTATATACCAAGAGAACATTTAAAAATTAAAAAAAGCCAAACATTTTCTTCTCATATTTGTCTGTGAAACCACCATGACATCAAGAAAACTTGCAAGAAGAAGAGAAAAAAAAAGTTCTGTTTACTTGGGTAGCATGTAGGTATTGTATAAATCTATTTTGATCCACCATGCAATAGTGTAATTGTACTACTACAGGCAGGTTAATTGAGCTTTGTTATTTCCTTTTCTTTGCATCACATTGTATTTTCTTGCTACGGATTGGATATTTTTACATTCTTTTGATACATCATGATAGAAGCTGGTTTACTCCTTTTGAGCACCAAATTGTCTTTTTATCCAGACGGAACTCTGCTACCACAATTAAAGTGGAGAAGTCTGCAGTCACTAGGAACTGGATAAGCATCAGGGAAAGACCTAAAGCTCAGCAGCAAATCCAGCAGCACATAAAGCTGGAGAGCAGCTGCTCCAAGGGTTTTCTTTGTTGAAAAAAGCAGGAAATGCATTTTTCAACTTTCAAAGCATAAATACAGCAGAACTTTCCATCATTTCAAAATAGTCAAACTTAGCCTCAGGCAACAATAATTAAAAGGAAGCTGTCACATTGCCATGTCACACATTTCCGTTTTACATATTTTTCAATATACAAGTATTGTATCAGTTTTTATTATGCAGAGAGTCAGATATAAAATGATGCCAATAACTTATCATAAGTAATTAGCGAATCATAACTCTAAGAAGCAAGCAGCATTTATGCAAAATACCCTATCCTACCAGCAAGTAGTCATTTATTGCAGTGATTTTGATATAAATTTTGTTAAAGCATTGCATCTGCTTATAATGTTCCTTAAATAGTTTCAAACTTTCCATTTACTTTGAGTAGTATCACTCTTCATGCCAGCAAACCTCTTAATATGCACAGATAATCCTTAATGACAGAGGAGAGATCTTAAGGAGAGAGACTAACAGTAAGAACAATCTTCCATCAGAGCCAAATCAGCTTCTTAATTCTGTTCACCAGCAGTCAATAGTTACACGGTATGATTCAGAATCCCGTGCAGGTATAGGAAGGGGTAGGAAAGGTGCAAAACCAGCTTGTTTCATAGACCTATAAGAGTTTCTGAGAAAATTATGCCATACTGTTTCTTCTTGTATTCTTGTTTTACTCATTGTCTGAATTTGGAGTTCGAAATATGGACAAGGCTGAGAACTGCCAAAAAGAGAAGCCTCACTTCTAATCTTCCTTGTCTCCAGCTGTGGATGCCTGCTGCTTTTCTAGCGTAGAACTGAGTGATAGTGCAGCCACAGGATGTGTCACTGGCAGATGCAACCAAGCGTGGTTCTGCATACAGAAATAACAACCATCAAAGAACATTTTTTCCTCACAGGAGCAGTCTTGAACCTACTCACTCTTCATGCAAGCAGTAGGGAACACCCCTTATGGTAGCGGTTTGCCAGTACATCAGCTTAGCCATAGCACCAAATTGCCCCTCCAGTAATCTACTGTGGTGAGCTCCATCAAATATGAGCTAGTTAACTTGTGAACATTTTCATAAATGAATACTCGGCAGTCCCAGCTAATGCATGCTGAGTCAGTTTTTACTTACAGCACAACTTTGCTGAGGAGCAGAATTTCAAGGGAGTTACTAGGCAGGGAAATGGATGGCACAGTCCATATTTTGGTCCACTGGCAACATACAGCTGTTAAACTAGGAAGAAGAAAGAATAGGTGACTGGGAAAAACCTAGCTAAAGTGAGGGTGGATATCCCAAGGAGACCAAATCTATGCTTCGTATTGACTTAAGGAAGATGATACATTACATCAAAGTATTTGTCAATGAAGTTGATTTAGAAAATCATAAAAGGAAAGGAGCAATAGAAAGAAAGGGAATTGTTTTTTAATACACCGAATAAGACAGTCTGTATTATGTGTACTTCACAGTCTTATCTAGGAAAAAACTTAGTGTTAAATTAGTCTGAATTATTTTATGTGTTCCTCTGTTTCACCTCAACTGGTATGGCATTTTCTCACTGAAATATGATTAAGTGACTACAAGGAAATAGCATCATGGAAACTACAGAACCAGTAGCTATAGAACCGGACGTTATGATCAAATTTGATATCCTCAAATGACATCTATGATATGTGTATGTGCAACATGCACATGTGCAACAGCTCAAGTCTGAAGAGTACATTCCTCTTGGTAACATGCATGCTCTTTTTTTTTTTTTCCCCACAAAAGAGTATATGTGTAAAGGAGAGAATTAGCTAGCCCTTGCCTCTGCCACACAAATTTGCTAGGCTATGCCCCTCCCAAAACACAAGCAGTTTGCCTAATCTAATCTGAGCTCTGAATCATTACATTACTAAAATGAGATCTACCGCTCTCCCTTAAATCATATTGCAACTAAACGCTCTTTTCCAGTTAGAATCAAATAAATCTATTGAAGATTTTTTTTTTTACTCTTACCATCTTTGACAACAACTTGTTGTCAAAGCTTAGACCTGTTCTGAAGGCTACATCCTATTAGATCTCTTCTTAATTACACCAAACTAAACATTGGGTTTGGTGCACACATATTGATAAATTAAAATGTAGAATCACCTTGAATACAACGTAACCCCCCTCCTTATGATGAAGAAATTTACACACACTTTGAAATTAAATTATATTAAAAATGAGTTATAGAGAAAACCTGTAATAGTAACAATAGCAGTAGCAGAAAGGACTCTTTGTTACTATTAGGCCAACAAAATATTCTGTATCAAAGTTTTCATTGATTCAAAAGATAATGTGGTACCATGCACTGCTGCATCGTTTAGTGGTATTTTGAAGCTTATTTCTATTAATAGATACATTCTCTACTAAGAAAACCTTTTTCTCTTCAGTGCCTTCAGCACCTTATTCAGCCTTTTTATAATCCTCCATCAGAAAAAAAAAGAAAGAAGAGAACTCCCTGCTCTATAAGCAGAAGCATTATAAGAAACTATCAGGAGAAGTATATTAAGGAAGGAAACTGGTTAAGGACATTCAAATTTAATTACAACACTGGTTCCCCGACTTTTCTGTTCACCTTGCAATCTGTTTATAATCCTACTTCCATTTGCAAACCTTACTACAGGGAGTGAAAATTTGTAAATTAAAGTCATATTCAGGCAAACTTTACAGCTTAAGTATAATGCACATTAATCCATGAAAACTTAAAATTTTAACTACAGAGTGTATAGCATGGAGCAATGAAAGCAATCTTCAGCATCATTGCTAACTGTTTCTCTCATGCAGCTTTCAAACGCATAGTACCAGAGCAGTGGGATTCAGGTTGTGAAAAATACTACTTTAAGGAGAAAAACAGCTACTCAAAGATAGTTAGCTAAAAATTGGAAAGAACAACTGAAATTGTTAAATAGGCAGCTGAGAAGCAAACTTGCTCTGCTGCTGGACTTTTTTTTTTTTACTTTAACAACAACAAAAAATGTCACAGATTTAGTGCTTCTCAAAGTGTAGGGCCAAAACATCCATCCATTTTGCTCTTCAAAATGTGCTCTTAGAAAACCAGGTCTCCACTGCTGCAGTTCCTTCTCTCTAGCAGGACACATCATTCACTGCTCAGCGTGACAGACGGTCTTCCTCCTTTCCCTGATCTTTAAGTAAGCAAGAATGGGAACTCCTTACTTTCCCAGCTCTCCCCAATATCTGATTGTTATTAGGTGGCAATCTGTTCCTGCGTATGCTACGGCTAACTTTCTGTGCTGTGTTATATAGTTAATTAACACACCAAAACAGAAAAAGCATGGTAGAGGAAAGGTAGTAAAAACGTGGACAGAAGAAGGATCTACGTCACAAGCTAGAAAAAACTGAAATGAAACTGCAATAATATTTGTTTACTGAGCACAACTTGTTTGATAGAGACAAACTCCATCATTTTCTTCTCTTGCTTAAACTCTCATGTTTCTCTGAGGTTCTTTCAAACTATCATTTGACTTACAAATGTTATCATTAGAAAGATAAAAAGTGATTATGGCTTTGTGAAGACAAAAGGTTACAGCTCCTTGCAGCAGCTTAGATATAAATAAAAGAATTTCATAGCAATAAGAACTTTCCAACTACAAGTCTACATTGTATTTACTGGATTGTGACAAAAAAAAATCAAAATTAGAGTATTTAATTATTTGCGTAATAGTTTGAACAATATTGCATACTGTTAGCAACAGTAGTTTAAAATACCACTCTTCTCAACTTCACAAGTACTGAACTACACTAGCAAAGAGTTGTTAAGGAATAAGAAACAGAGTCTATGCCAGAAGAGAACTGCTTTATTAAATTTCAGATCTCATGCAATGGCACAAGGGAAGTATTAAAGCATATTAGAGTCTTGCCAACAAATTCAGATGAAACATAAAGGGATAACACAGAACATAAGGTTGAAAGTCATTAAGTTAA